TCGGAAGGAAGGTTGGGCAATCCTACTTCCGTAGTGATACTGCCTCGGAAACCCAAGGAGGGGTCGCTATGAGTCAGGGCTGACTCGACGGCACATAACAGCAACAACACCACCACCCTGAGGAGGGTTCTGTCTCCATGTATACCTCTTCAATGATTTGTTCCAAACAGAAAGTAACATCAAGTTTCATTTAGGAAATGAGTTGATTAGATTTATATTAAAAGTGATTTTCTCTAACCCAGAACTATAAAAGAAGTCAAGCTTAGGAGAGAAAGGTATGTTCATTTATTCCTGGCCCTGCTTAGCTGGGCAAGCTGGGCAAGCTGGGCAAGCAAAGCTTGATGGTTTGTTGTAAATGACCTTTAATATGTCAGTGTCCCCATTTGAATAGAGCTATATAATAACCCTTTAGGTGTGCTAACCAGGAAGCTAGATTTGTGCTCTTCTCTCTGTTGGTATCTGTCTGTTCCGTCTGGGAGTGGACAGTGCCAGTGAGTGGGAGGCAGGCAGACACCTCCTCAGAAGTGAATGAGAGGTCAGAGCAGGAAGGTATATGATACCCACCTCTCCCTTCTTGATTTGCCATTCTGTTCCAGGTAGTTTGAGAAAAGAGGAAGCTGGGCAACTGTACCTGAGGGAAGTGAAAAGGAACTTGTTTTGCTACTAATATATATAATGTTTGAAATAATTGCAGTGTAGCTTCTCTTCTGCTTGTTTTGAGGAAAAATGAACTTTGTGTTAGTGAGAACAAGGGAATTGGAAGGCCTCCTTCAGCTTCTGGTATTTAAAAAATCCTTGTAATTAAAAACCATTTATTATTAATGTTTGAAATAATCACGTAGAGTGTTCTTTTCAAATTCTAAATTATTATTGTATTTAGTTGTTGTTGTTGTGTTGTTATTTGTCATCGAGTCGGCCCCGACTCATAGCGACCCCTCCTTGGGTTTCTGAGGCAGTATCATTACGGAAGTAGGAATGCCCAACCTTCCTTCCGAGGAGTGGCTGGTGGGTTTGAACCGCCAGCCTTCTGGTTAGCAGTCCAGTGCCTTAGGCACTATGCTAACAGAGCTCCTTATATTTATTTGCAACACCTCAATTATAGAATATATCTGGAATATCTCTAGTAGCTTCTCTGGTGTCCAGAGTTTTCATATGATTTTATTTTTAAATTGAATTAGAAAATAAACATTTCTTGGTTCAGGATAACAGATTGACACACATACATCACACACTTGAATCTCTTTGAAATGACAGTAATAAATATGTGGCACACCAAAAACAAGGAAGGTATCAGAGGACTTGAAATTTTGCCAAGTTTCTGGGAATCAGAAAGCATGTGATGTAATTTGAAAAATCCGCCCGAAGACTTAATCGTGGAGAAGGGTGTAAATGTTAAAAATTTTGACAGTCTGCAAAGAGATGATACAGGTGATAGAATTTGAGAGCATAAGGGTGCTACTAGTTTCTTAATTTTACACAGTGGAGAGTAAATAAATATGGTGAATTCAAACACAAAGTAGTAAATCTGGTTTTTAGAATCGTGGAATAACCACCAGAAATACTGAAAACAGTTCAACTGGCTAAAAGTGGAAGATAAAGTAGAATTTTACTTTTCATTTTAAACTGTTGTGATGATTTAGAGTTTTAAAAATTGTATTTCTGTATATTCTTTTTTGAATAATTTTTATAAAAGAGGAATTGATAAAAATTGAAAAATTTTTTTCCCTTGTACTTTTTTTTTTTTTAAATTTTTTATTGTGATTTGGGTGAAAGTTTACAGAGCAAATTCACTTTCCATACAGTAGCTCACATACACTTTGTCTTGTGTCATTGACTACGGTTTCCCACAATGCAACAGCTCCCCTCCCACTTCCTCCCAAAAGTTACCTCTTCCCTGTGTCCTTCCCTCCCATGCACTCCTGCCTCCCCAAGCTGTCTCCCTGTGCATACACAGTCCTTCTATTCTCCCATGATTGATCTCTCCAAGGAGTATATCTGCCAAATGTAAATGTTCAGCTCATATGCCTGTCTTTTGTTTGGCTGGAAGCCACAGGAGTGGGCTCAATTCTAGACTCTAGCTGAACCATAGTCTCAGGGGTTTCACCAGGCTCCATCAAACCA